TCTAAACGGGCACGCAAAGTGATCATCACCCTCTCGCTGTGGGTGAAGTAATGCGTGCTCGCGTACTCATCCGCGGACTTCATCCTAGTCTCAAGGTCGTCTCTGGAGTTGGCGATTGACGTGAGGATGAATGGTGGGAACGAGCGAGAGGAGCATCCCCAAGAAGACAGGAGTATCGGTAATATGATTGGATAACTGGTTGAGTAATACGCCTGGGTAATGCTAGAAGCGAGAAAGAGACGCGCAACCAATCACAATCGAATGGAAGGTGCGCTTCCTCCGATTGCTCCTGCGCCCTCGCTCATTAGCGTCTTAAGCATAAAATTGAAATATTAAAGCTTTGCAGATTTGTTATGCAATCTAGGACCACACAAGTACTTAAATCATGTCCCACTTGGGGCGTGATTTAAGCGTTGAAGTTATGGTTAAGTGAATTTATGTACCATCAGCATTCTTTGGAGCCTACCTAAGTGTTTCGTAGAGAACGATAAGTAGAAGAATAAAAAATTAAAATTGGTAGAATTTTTAAACTGGAATAGGTCTCATTACACCAGGTAAGATAAAATACCGGAGCAAATACTTAATGCTAATATTTTTTAAAATAAGGATCTATATCTCATCAAGAGATCAGGATATTTATGGGTAATAAAATGCCTGCTTTTATTAAATAAATAAATAAAATTTTTTGTTCTATGAAATAAGTAGGGCATCAAAAAACATTCACAGCAACGAATACCGAGCACCTACCCATTTATCCCTTCATTTACCTATCCATCCATTCTGTATTCAGCCATCTATCTTGAATAGACCCCTTTTTCATCCATCTGCGTAGTTATACGTACGAATTCGGTCATTAAACGATAGAGAAAGCTTGTATGGTTGTCGTTATAATTTAGAGCAATTATCAGTCGTAACCTCCAGGGCCTAGTCAAACGCATGCGATTGTTTATGTGCACGCATGATGAAGCGCGAAGAGAGCCCTATCTGACTATCACCCGTAGAGTCTCTCACGGTGGACTTCATTGTCTTGTTTTATGTCTTCTCGCCTTCTCAACATCCGCCCCCCAACGGATGACTCTCCAACCTGTCTCATGCTTCGGCAAGCGTGATTATCTCCGTTTTAGAGGCGTGCCTACAGAATCTCTCTTAAAACGGATTCTTCCACAACATTGGCAGAGAGAATGTGGCGTGTGCCAAACACAGTTCCAAAACAACATATCACCCACCAACCTTCTCACCTACTCTATTTACTTCATGGATTCCACGTTCACATAGCTCCTATCAACAACAATGCAAAACGATGCCTCACTTCTGACAATTTGAAGTTATCCCAGTTCATTTTGCAATTACAAATTCCAGTCGTGTTTAGAGGGAGTTGCCGTGAGATATAGGGGGCGAAATTGAACGAAACTGACAGGCCAAGGATTTCCACTCCCCCATGCATCCACTCGCTCGTCACACCAATCATTCCAAATCGCTCATCAAGAAAACCCACCATAGGGACAACGCTGTTTACTGGCTGATGGAACGGCATTTCATAATTCATACCTTCTCTGCTTTTGTACTTTTTTGCCTTTGCACATTTTTGCTCAAGGATTCGCACAGCAAAACCAGCATCTCCAGTTGTTTCCACACGATCCGTACATACTGCCTATACACATTACACTTTTATCTCACTCACCACTCCGTCCCCATCGCGTGCGTTTGTGTGCACGGATGGACTAGTAGAGAGATGGATGGATGGACACGGGATGGATGGATGTGGGATTGTGTACAGCTCTACTGCCGTGGTGGATTGCAGACTCAATCAATCACTGTTGGTTTAGCGTTGCTAAGACCAAACAATCGCCACCAACTTCAATTTGTCCCACACGATTTGACTTAAACTCGTGCAAGTAAAGCTCCTCCTCCTTCTTCACCCTCTTCCCTTTCCCTTTTTTCCTCTTTTTAAAAACAATCAGAACCAGTCAAGCTCACGTGGAACTGTGCCCTTCACTCACGACACCGCAACACCCCGCACCGCCGCAAGGCTTCAGTAAAAGGATTTACACCATGGGATACAATGTACTATAATTCTTGCCTTAAACTCATCCTCATCCTCACTCCTGTCTTCCATAGCATCCTTCGTGATCTCCTAATGATCATAAGTGTGCCCTAGTGATGAGTGCCATCATTATTTGACATCTCTCCGGACAGTCTCCTGAACCCACAGTCGGTAGAAGGGATGGTTGGGAAATGTAAAAGATACGATAGGAACGGAGGGGATTGACACCTGAATTTCTGTTTTTGGATTCCATAGCAAAAAGACCCTTTCTAAAAGGGTAATTTGCGACTAACTTCTCTCCTCGAGAAGAGCTTGCATACAGTGATACTTATCAAATCAAGGAATGAAATGCTTCAAATTCCTATCTATAAAATTTTTTGTTATTTTTTTATTTATAAACTCTGCACAGAATAACTTGCTTACTTGTACTTGCCACTTTCGTAACCTTTTCTACTTTTGAGCCTTTAATAGCTGGATACGTCAATAAATTTCCCTCCTTATCAATTTTGCTTGAAGTTTTGTTGGTTATTACCCAAAATTCACCGTAAAGTTAGTTTTGCACTAAAATTTAAGGAGGTAATTCGTTTTACTAACGAGCAATAAGTAGCATGCAACACCAGCCCAAAAAATTGAAAGGAGATTGAGATGTCGGTTGCCTTCGAGATGTTTAAGTGGGTCATGGGTGGAGCTTCGGCGCGTTTTAGTGTTTTGTGTCTTCTATTTTAATTGAATAAATTCACTGTACTTTAAAAGTGTTTCTGTGCCTTCTAGGAAAAAAGGCCTCTGAAACCACAACCTCTGAATATGAGTGGCTTATAAGTCAAACCAAGACTCTCAAATTTTACTTTATTCAGTTAAAAAAGATATTGCTGAGGTGCTACCGAATTCAGCATTGCGTGGGAAGTCTGTACTAGCACAATTGGCAGTTTTAGGCAGACATACCTTGGAGGGAGACAGACACTGTAAATTAAGGAATGCAGTAAACAGCCGAAGTGGGAAAATTAAAAATTAATTATGTCAAATGAGGTGCAAAAGCCCCGGAAATTAACTCGCATAGAAGGAAATAATCTCGATGAGGTCCGTTTTTGAACATGCGCATCCGTTCATCCATGGAACCATGTGTCTCGTGTCCACCCATCCAACCGCCTGTTCCACTAAATAAGAGCGCTTGGTGACACTCATCACAGGAGCACACTTGTGATCATTTGTGGATTGTGAAGGTTGCTATGGTAGATTAGAGCGAGAATGATGATGGGTTTAAGGCAAGAATTATACTACATTTCATCTCACGTTGTAAATCTTGCTACTGGAACCTTGCAGTGATGTGAGGTGCTGCGGTGTCAAGAGAGAAGGGCAATGTTCGACGAACGCTTGACTAGTCCTGATTTTTTCTAAAGAGGGAAAAGAAGGGGAGGGGGAGAGGGTGAAGAAGGAGGAGGAGCTTTACTTGCACGAGTTTAAGTCAAATCGTGTGGGATGGATTGAAGTCGGTGGTGATTGTTTGGCCTTAGCGACGCTAAACCAACAGTGATTGATTGAGTCTGCAATCCACCACGGCAGTAGAGCTGTACACAATCCCACATCCATCCATCCATCCATCCATCCTGTATCCATTTATCCATCCTGTATCCATCCATCCATCCTGTATCCATCCATCCATCCTGTATCCATCCATCCTGCATCCATCCATCCATCCTGTATCCATCCATTCATCCATCCATCCATCCCATAGTCATCCACCCGTCCCTTATGCTTCTATCGACCATCCATAGGCATAGTTTCTTCAGGGAAAATTTTGGGGATAAATTTTTTGATCCACTTAAATAACAATGGGTTCCAATTGTATGCATCGACTGTTAGTAATTAAACTGCCTCCATGTCCGAAATCTTAATTCCATATAGAACATGTTGAACATCTTTGGCCTCTTCAAGGTCAAAAGTTAACCACCGCTGTTGGCGTTAAAACAAGAACTTAGGGTGCATGATGATATTTATCATTCCATGGGGTAGTTTTAAAATAGTAGATGAGGACACAGAAATTACGTTCAAACCTTGGACCGCTTTACAACGAAGCCATCTACAAGGAGCCACTGCCAACGGCTGCAGATTCCAGACCGAGAAAATGCATTTTAGCTATCAGATGACATAAATTTATTGTTAAATAAACCGACTCAAATGTACTGTTTGAGAATCATGTGAAATAAGAAAGAAACGATGAAATGAATGCCAATTTTAAATGTCACTATTTTCCATGCCATTTTATGTCAACATTGTGTGTGTTTGTGCTTATCACCCATTGCAGGCGGCAGTAATGTCATTAGACTTGCACAACAACCCCGAGAAGTGCACACTTTCACACAATTTGGGTGTGAATTCGCCTCGAAAGTTATAAACCATCTCTTGTCAAGTAAATGGTCGTGTTTGCATGTATACTACAAGGACATCATCTAGTAAACACATGATTGCATTTGCCTAAGGTCGCCCTTTTGATTGAATTCTCACTAGGATGGGCAAAAACACCTCAAATGACAACTGTTTTGAGTAGGCAACTGCAGTTAAAACGAACTTTGTGGAATAAAAGTCCACTAGAAAGTAGGACCGGGGATTTTTTTCCCAAACCATCGCTTGAGTCGACAGAGCAACATCTACGCATTAGTAGGCTACCTTAAAAAGGCAACTTTTTAACTGCGCTTGCCAAACGGAAAGATGTGCGCTCGTGCGTGTGCATGCAAAGGTTAAGTCACTGACCGCTAATCTTATTGGCTAATAAAATCAGCCAATCAGATGTCATCACCGCTTAAGCGCGTCATTTTTGTGGGTTATTTGTGGCATAAAGACACGATACATCACACTTGCTGTTCACAGGCAGGTATGCACATACTTCACCAGCATGTATGACTTTGAACGTGCCTTTTTCCCCATTCTTGTGTTGGCATGAGGCAGCAAAGTTGCAAGCATGTTTGAGAGTGGATATCTGGTGCCTTATATCGCTGAGAAATTAACAACCATCACCGCTACCGCCACTAGATCACAGAGCCGGTCTCTCATTGGAAGTGTCTTCTACCAGTACCTCAATCATCCACCCAGTGCCTCCACCTGGACTCAGATTGAAGTACCCCGATTTAGTACACTGGTGATTGGTCTGTGCATTTTATCTCTGTCCATTGCTGTCATTGTTCTGGGTCCGTCAATACAGACATTTCTCTCGTTCTCCCCTCCAAGGCTACGCAAAAAATCATCTACACCCAGACGGTTTTGCATAACAATTGTCCTTTTGACGTTTCTATCATGCTGGCTTCTGCTTGGTGTGGCTCTAATTTTTACGGTTGTTGTCTTCTCAGAAAACAGCCTGGCGGATTCCCAGCGTTCCGGTTTTGTTAGCCGCATTGACAAGATTTCTAACCGAACATTTGTACTCTTACGAGCACTGACGAAGGAAACTAAGTCGGTAGCCGATGTCACTGTTCGTGGTCTTATAAGTGATTTTTATAATGATCTCACTCTAGAAGTACCTACAATCACTGCACATTTTTTAAATCAAACCAATCTGAACACTCCATTGACAATACTTGACGATTTATCGCAAACCGTGGAAGATTTGCTCAAAGCGCATACCTGTCTACGGGAGAGTGGTCCTCAAGTGACATTGGAATTGGAGAAGCTGGATTCAAACATTCGAGTGAATGGAGAAATGTTGTTTCAAGAGATCCAGAGGACAAGCCGAGAGTGTGCTGCCTTCACCGACCACCTTCCTTCGCTCAAACCGTTTGGAGAGGCAATCTCACAACTGATGACTGGACTCTACGATGAGGAGAACCATGTGGACACATTTTTCCACCTTTTCCATTTGGAAAGTAGTCTTGGCCTTTTTAATATGCTAAATGTCCTTCCATTCAACGTCTCCACAGTCATTGCCCAACTTAAGACTGCAGTCAGTGTGCGGAAAGAGCTTGAAGCGTCCATTCGCGGTAGGATAGAAGATCGGTTCTCCCACATGTCCAATGAAGTCCTCAAAGCAGTAGATGGTCTATCGTTCTACATCGATGAAGCGTTGGTGAAGATTGATGAAATGGAACATTCATATCATCAGACAATGGGACACGTAAATGGAGGTTTAAAGGTGCTAAAAGGCGTCTGGATTATTGTCTACTTCATTGGAGTGATGGTGATAACAGCTCCACTGGTTCTGCTCTTTTGTTCCTGTCTCTGTCCACGTCATAGCATGAAGGTGGCCGTGAAAAAGGTCTCTCCACTGCTGACAACCAACGAGTTGATTTCAGCTTCCTCGTCTGGATGTGGTTCTTCTGAAGATGAGGACTCTACTCTGACTCCAATTTTAGCACAGGAAAGACGGTTAGACTCCTCAACAGTATTCCTCCCCAATAGTGACTATCTCGACAGTCATGAATTACTTATTCGGCAAGTGCAAGACAGCTCCATTTCCTGTGACTCCGACAGTGGATGTCCCCGAAGCGATAGCCGGGTGAGTTCCATCGCTGCCTTTTGAATTGCCTTGAATGGTGCAATGGAAATTGTGGGGTGATTTGCATACCATACACACCCCCCGGTCTTGTCAATGGCTTTCATAAATTTGCACTGAACTGGGTTGGCGACATTTAAAAGGTTTAAAATTCAACCAGAGAAAATTGGCCGTCACGTGATGAGCCCAGACAGGTCATAGCGGCTACTTAGTCATGTTATTCACCAAGTTGCGTCTATATTCCGAAGCAATACGATTTGATACAACCGGCTGTCAGAAGCTGACAACACGAGCTTGTCATTTAGAAGTGTACGATGTCATTAACCTAGGGCATATCTTGCTAGGAAATCCGCCTCGACTAATTGTGTTAAACTAAACTTTGAGTGAATTAGTTGGGAGGTGAGGCGTTCCCACCTACCGTACCTTCATTTGTACCCAAAATCTGTTCTATTGCCTAGCTAAAATACGGAAATTCATATTGTTTTACATTCACAGGCACTGTGAAGGTTGCATGAAAATCTCCTTTTTGTCCTTTAGGATTTGGGTGTGTGGTCCCGAACTAGTACGTTTGACACACTGGATGAGGCCACATCGAGGCAGTGCTGGGGCGCTCATTGTCAAGGTGGCGATGTTAAGCCCCGTCACTGCAAAGGCTGTGCTCACCTAATCTCCTGCTGTGGATTGCTTCTTCTCTCCCTTATCTGCCTTCCTCTCCTCTTCGGTTTGGGATATTTTCATGTCCATGTGAGTTCCACCGTTTCCAGTTTATCATTCAGATGCGAACGCGGTGGAGTCGGTGTCTCTACCCACGCTCCTAAAGGAGTAGGGGAACGTGTTTTTTACCTTTCTGTAACATAATAAGTGCCGCCTATTCTATAGCCCGTTTAGTTCACTTTAGACAATAGAAAAAAGATTTCTGTCAGTGACACAAAGGTCTTCTCAGTTAATGAGGAGGCTCTTGTCACCCGTGTCTAGGTGCTCTTTAATGACAGCTGAGCACCTGACATCCAGGTCCTTTTTTAGCTGGGAATAACTATCTCTCTCATGTTTACTTTAGATGAGACGAAGTATAATTTAGGTTTGATTTTCTACTTTTATTTTCTGGGACTGCCTGAGAATTCGTTTGTTTGGGGAATTAGGGGGTGTGAGGGGGTAGGGGTTCATACGAGTTCCTTAGGAGTGATAAATGAAGTGAAACCGCATTTTTTAAATCCCAACTTTCTCGAAAAAAGGTGAATGAAATGAGCAAATTTTTATTGAGTAATAATCGGATTTCTGTTCTCTTTACAAAAAACCGGATAACCGTAGCTCTGTTTGTTGACAAGGCCCATTTCCTCCCATCGTGGCAACAGACAATGCCCTTTGATTAGGTGAATCGAATGCCAAAGGGGGGAGTTGTTTACTTGAGAATGAACAGCAAGAAAAACTTCTTTTATAACCTTTTCGTTACCAGGAGCTACAGGTAAAATTAACCACCCCCCACAAGCCATAACGTACATGGTCCATTTTAAAGCTGCGTTGCTCAAAACCACAGAATAAAGCAACATTTCGTTGTTTTAAGATCGGAGAACTTCTACATTAATTTTATTGCCCTAAGCTAAGCTAATTTGCTGACAGCGCTAAAGTATGATGCAATTAACCACCATAAAATGATAAAGGACACACGTCACATATATGTGACGAGGCTTCATCCCCTTGTAAATTGAAGAAAATTTATATGAAACCCTAATGCGATAAGTAAGTGAATAATGACTTTATTTTGATTAATTTTATCTCTTCACAGTGCTAAATTTCGTCTTTGTAAACTTTGGAGCATCTAGATCGTTGCCCTATGCTACGTCTGGTGAGTGACCTTGAGGGAATTGTAAAAATAGCGCAGAAGTCATGCATAGGAGTGACAACGTGGTTGGCAAACGTCACCATTAGTAAGCTGAATGCTTCTCTGGCAAAAAAGTTGCCGATTATGTGCATTACTACCAAGGTAGCGTGCGGATGGCGCTCCAATTTCCCGACACGCCTTTTGTTACCGTCTGTGCCAAGTGGTCGCACCAACGCCAGCGAGGCAAATGGATTGGTTGAGGTCAAAACAATGAAATAGGTGTAAGCTGCTGTTGATCGAAGGATGACTGCATCATTTTTTTGTGCTTTTGAGTAACAGTTGAGTTTGTGTGGCGATTTTCCTCCAAAGCCAATGGTAACCATCATGAAAACCAAGTAAATGCGCCGCTAATCCATGGCGGATGTCGATGTAGGTGTAACGATGACAGCTGATAAATTAACTGTCTAGACTGAAAAGTTTGTCACGTTAGTTTGGGATCGTAAACGATGACAACAAACTTATTAAGGTTTAAAATCACCACCGAATTCGTTGCTGCAGCTTCAGAGGAGAACTCGAGCACTCCAGCTCTTGAAATGTATGTTCCGCCCAGAAAATTTCTCAGCTAAATCGGGTGTTTTAAACAGCCACTTTGGAACGTGTTTTATTGTTCTTCCGCATGAGGAGGTGAGGAACATGCCAGTCGTGACACCCACAGGGTATGCGGGGAGGTGGACGTGTTCAAACTGGATGAAGGCATTGCTCACTTCGGTAGTCGCGATTCGCATCACACTCCAGCCTTTGTGATGTGAGGGTGACAAAGCCCTCCATTGTCAAGGCTGGATTTAGTCATGCTCCGTTACTTTAAAAAAAGGAACCTCTCAAATTGGGCGTGAGCTGGAAGCAGTTTAAAGACTTAGGACCTCACTGTCGGAAATGACGCAGGTAAGATGGTAGGATTGCGATGTGGTGAGTTAGAAGTTAAATTCTGAAGTGGTCAAATTCGTTCTTTTTTTTCGTGTAAAATAATAAAAAATTCCTGCAAAAACTGCTTGAATCACTTCATTTGCTGGAATGATCAGTATCATGGTACGTAGGCATTTAATTAGACAAGTGAACTGCAAATTCCACTTTCTGAAAGTGGGTTTTGTCCCGAAAAGCCGGAGGCAGAAGTCTAGTTGTCGGTCACCCCTTCTTCTGTCGGCTCGTTTTCGTTTTCCGACTGTCTGTTATACCGATCGTGGGATCAGGGGTACTGTCTGAGATGAATGTCAAGATGCGATGGTAATCAGCGCTAGAGCATACTTGTAAATGTTGGGGTACCACGAGGGTTGCTATGGCAGACAGGAGAGAGAATGGGGATGCGTTTGAGGAAAGAATTACACTACACTTTATCCCGTGATGTAAATCTGGTTAATGGGACCTTGCATCAGTCTGGGGTGTTATAGTGTCATTAGAGAGGGGCACTGTTAAACGAACGCTTGACTAGTTTTGATTGTTTCTAAAGAGAGAAAAGAAGGGGAGAGGAGGAGGGTGAAGAAGGAGAGGCTTTACTTGCATGCGTTTGAGTTAACTTGTATGGGATGGATTGAAGTCGGTGGTAATTGCTTGGCCCTCGCGACTCTAAATTGTCAGTGACCGATTCTGGCTGCGGTCCACCACGGGAACAGAATTATGTACCATCGCCCATCTATTCATGCCTCCATTCCGTATTTACCTATCCATTCATTCATCCATGCCATATCCACCAGCACAGGCACTTAATTGTACACAAGCAGGATGAGGTGGTGAGTGCGAAAAAAGGCATATTTCACGAGGAATCGTTCCATCAGTCAGGAAACAGCTGCCTCGAAACGGTGCGGTTTCTGGGTGTACGACCTCGACTGTTAAGTGTAATGAGTGAATGCACAGTTTGGAGGATTGGGGAAACCCTTGGCCTGTCAGTTTTGTCCACTTGGTAACCCAACAAACACGACTGGAATTGGTAGTTGTGAACTTGGAATCCGTGAAGTGAATGGAGTATTTGAGAAGGTTGGAGGATGATGTTTTGCTATGGGATTGTGCACGGCATATCTCTGGAACGGAGTTGACTCTGGTAGATTAAGCATAGGACAGCTTGGTGTGATAGAAAAAAAAAGAAGATATGAAACAGGACAGTGATGGGCGCCATGCCGATGTTAGTCAGATGGAGGTCTCCCCGTGCTTCAACGTGTAAGTACGTAAAAGTTGCATGTATTTTACCTTCCTCCTTGACAGTCAAAAAATACGCGATGATTTATTTTAAAGCTACTTTTAGACAAAGTAGTACAAAATCGACTTCCGATTTTGACAGGGCGGCATGGCAAAAATTGTCAACACACAAAAAGCTCTGCCTCTTACTACATCATAAAGCGTATTTACCTCGGAAATAAAACGTTGACTTTGCACCAGAGTTTTAAAATTAGATGTGCATTTTAAATAAGTTGTGGCACTGGTGAAATCTCCTCGATTCGCCCATCTCTCTCTCCCGTTTCGAGCTCGTTGACTGGGAGGATCGCCTTGCGCTTCCCCCTCGGTGGGCTTCTGCACTGACATCACTGGTTCCTGCCGCCTCAGTCAGCAATGCAATTTGACTAAATTGATGTAGTCAAACCTCCATAGCGGCAGATTTCGACAGGCTTCATACAATAGCCTTTCATTGACCTAGCCGTGCATTCCCATTTCAGGTGTGCCTTCCACTCGTGCCTAACAGCCCACAGCAACTGCAATTGGATAGTGAATTAAATGCCATCATGGCGAGCAGCTGGAATGACTGGATGCGCCTAGCGTCCTCCTTCATTCATCGGCATCTACGCCAACTTGGCGGCATCACAGATGCTTCATTCAACCTCACAAACTATCTTCGAGTTGACCGGCCACGCAATCTGCTTTCGGGATTGCTCACCCGCTGTTCACCGTAAGCAAAGTGGCTGCCCATTCGTGATCGCAGGTGTAGTGAAGAGGGGTTCTTTCCATCTCTTTGCGCATATTTTATTGTAGGCCGTGGGGTAATCAAAGCTTCTTCAAGGCGATTTCGCTGCAAGCGCAGCTCAATTTTTCCGGACTGCTGGAGATACCTGTGGTGAAGATCAAGTCAGAAGAGTTTAAGGCCTATCTCGTTGATCAAGCCGTGCTAATGATGGTGCAGAAACTAGAAGTCGGCTTACTGCCACTTAACTTCGAGCTTCTCCTTCAAAACCTCATCGTACAAACGCCAAATGCAACTTCGGGCGAATCTGGAAGTGCAACAGTGCTTGCCACGGTCAACAGGTTTTGGTTGCAGGCAATCGGCGGTGCGGTAGAAAGGAAGAAGGCAATAAAATCTTCGTTGGCGAATTTGCAAAGATATCGACAACTCCAAAAACAGGTTGTATCACTTCGTCGAGGCCTCGAACAGGAGTTGTCTCAGGCACAAAACATTTCCACCTCCTGTTCTGCTCGTCTCTCGCAATCTCTCCGCATTTCCAATTATGGTCTGCGTCTCATGCGATCTACTGCAAGGAGTATACGACTCAAGGATCACTTGGAAAATCTCTACAAGGCTGCCACCACCCTCAATGAAATAAGCAAACGGCCCACATTCACAAAAAGTATTTCCAACTTCGCTCAACTGGCGTACAGCATGGGACTATCGAAGGCATCAACGAATGCCTCGAGAGATGAATTGTTGCAATGCGTGAATCGGACGATTGGTTTGGAGTATGAGCGTTTGGCATCAGCATTTGAGAGCCACTACGCCGCTAGGTCTGTGAATGTGTGGATCGCTGCAGCTTTGGATCGATTCACGGCGCCCTGTCAACGGTTGGGAGCTATCGCCTGGGATGTTGTAGGCAGCACCTGTATCATCTCACCTCTGCAGCAACGACCTCCACAAAACCAATTCGTTCCCGTTGTACAGCGTGTGGCAGCGGTCGGCGTTGTCATCCTATTGTTTGTATCCCTCTACTCCTGCCTCTGCATCATCTACATTTGTATTACCAGATCGTTCTCCTGCAAGACGGTGTAATTAGGTCCCATTTTCGCATTCTCCTCTCTTCTGCCCTCCCCGCTTCTCCCCTCCTCTCATTCACAATACCTCCGATTTAGCATTTTTCATTGCATTCCTATTTTTCTATCAAATACATGATAGAGGTGTGGCCTTTTCCAGTATGAACTCCTCATTCATTCAAGCAATCTCCTGGAGGATTGGAGATTAGTTGTTGACATTGTCCAAATGTAGTGCAGTGTCGTGGGACGTGATGTCATACTGTGTATTGTTGAATAGTAAAACCACCCGACAATTCTAGCTTAAGGCTAGGTCAAAACAGGTTAGATGTAACTAAATGCTAATGGGGATGTAAGCTAACCCCATCTGTCATTCCCAACCTGCAGACAATTTTGCAAAATCATTTTAAAGTGGAGAGTGTTATCAACCTCACTGAATGCAAAATAGGACCACTGGGTGATTGGGCACAATGCCCCAACGTAGTCAGGTAGTTTCTCTGCTACTACGCACCAATGACTGCCATATGCAACTTGCTACCAGGCAGAGTTGTCAAATGGATGCGCTTGGCCACCGCACCGAACAAATGAAGCAGCTGGTTGGGTTTTGGCAAGTATCCTGTCTCGGTAAATGTCGTAGATGTCACTAAAGGGGCAACTGATACTGCAGACGCATTCAGTTGGTGCAAAATCTGCATTGACAAAAGAGATTTTCCGCCAACCAAACAAGTTTGCCTTTCACCTCTCTAAAATCTGATTACGCTTAAATGCGTCTACAAAAATCACTTGAATGTTTCAAGTGTCCTCTTACAGCAAAACAGTGCTTTGTGATTCGTGAAAGA